TTTAGAAGAGAATTTTTTTTACTTTACTTTAAGTTGCTTCTCATAAATACTGAAAACTGTCAGAGTTTAGGAGATGAATTAACAACAGAGGTTTCCCACATGGTCTGGACCAGTTCTCCAACCAGCTGATGAACATGAAGTGATCCCATCCAGCGGTGTTTTTCATATTTCTAACCATTGCACATTGACCTCACAAATAGAGAGAGGTCTGGAAGCACTCTCATGAGTTGTACATCTCATAAACGTTTAAACTTCAGTTTTGCTGCACGTCAATCAAGAATGAACCATCTTATAACTTGAAACGCATCACCTGAAGAATCAAGTTATTTCCATTATTTTGTTATACTTTGCTTTTTATCTTCTTTTTCATCTGTTTGCTCATCGATGTGTTATGTGTTTCCCAAAGCCAGTTTACTGTTTGGAGATGTTGATAAGATGATACATAGTGCAATACAACCTGGTGATGCTGACCCCATTAAAGGTTGTAAGACTGATTTGTGTGATTTGTTTGAGTTTACTCAGCTCATGCAGTGTAATATTATTGCTACAGTACCTTGCAAAAGTATTCCTACCACTTGAACTTTTGAATGTTTTGTCACTTTACAACCACAAACTCTAATATAGTCCATTGGGATTGTAAGTGGAATAATAAATATCAAATAACTCTAAAGGAAAAAATGCAAGGTTTCCAGCTTTTTTATAAATAAATATTCATCAGTTCAATTAATGTAGTTATATAGATTTTCTACAGGGGAAGCTAGATGAGTTGCTAACTTTAAATGCAACAGTCTTCAATCAGTTTTCCACACTTTTGTCTTGTTCACTTACACCTTCTCTTTACGTATGCAAGCCACTGGGACTTATCATTGATATTCAAAACAAGGACACATTGATTTTTTTTATTTAGGTGAAAAAGCGATTCAGCAGAACATTTATCCAACCCTCCTGTCTGTTCAGCATTCTTCGTTCTCTTCCTCTTCTTATTTTATTATCAGAAATTTGACCTGAAACAGGCCAGTTCATTCATATTGAAGCATTTATAATTTTTATTAAATTCCTTTTTATTTTTATGATCCTCAAGCACAAAAAAACATCTTGACAACTCTTTTTCTAGGTTGCAATTTTCTACTTTGTGTTTACTACTCAAAAGTAGATGGAATAGTTTACGTGTTGATTGTCACAAGGCTCTGTTCATGTGATCTTCAAGCTATAGTGTCTTAATTTCCTTTCTCCTTCTTCCAGCTCTTTCACTGTGTCAGTGAAGTCGAAATGTGTGTTAGGAATACCGGCAAAGTGGACTTTGACTTCAACGTCACATACTTTCCAAACGCAAAGGAGAACAAAGGGGTCGATAAAGGAGACGGAGTGCTGATTAAGGCAGATGATGACGACAGAGATGCACAGCATTTAAAAGGAAAAGGTCAACAACACGAGAGGCTGAAGATCAGACCTGGGTGGCCCGTAATTATTCCATCTGTGGTGAGTCAATCATAATAATCTCCTGTGTGAATTTTTCCTGGTGTGATTTTAGTTTATCACTTAACATTTTGTTTGTGTTGCTAGGGTCACATTAGTGCTGGTTCAGAGAAGCACCTGCGTGTACTTTACCTGCCTGGCATCCCTGAAGTGTTTAAGAAGCAGTTTCAGCTCCAGGTGGCTTTCTTACCTCCCCAGGAGGTCACGCTAACCGGGGTGGGAGTGTTCCCAAGAATCCGACTGAATTTGCCACGAAACTTGTGTATGTTCACACCTGCACTCAGACGGTCACAGGTTCTGCCAAAAGAAGTACATTATATTAGATCACCTGCCCCCGACACACGCTCATACAGCATCTAAATGTTGTGAAATCTTCCAGTTGCCATTTTTTCCCCCTCCTCCTTCCTTCCTCTTTACTACCCTGTGCCGTACAGCACATTCCTTCCTTTCTTGTCTGTTTTTTTCCTCCCTTGAATGGATTCTTATTTCCTTCCTTTTGTCCTTTTTAGCTTCCTCGAAAATATATTTCCCTCTTTTGTCCTTTGTCTTTCCTTGTGTTTTCTTCCTCCCTTGTTTCCTTCATACCTCCACCTCTTGAATCGTCTTTCTTTCTTCTTTGTGTCCCACTTTACGTCCTTCTTTTCTCATATTCTAATTTTATTCTTTTGGTTTTGTTTTTTCCCCCACTGCAAAAATATTCGGCATAAATTCAGGGTGAACCTTGGTATATTATATTTGTTCAAATAAAGGCATAGGAACTCTTCAAAAGCTGAAGAGAAATTTGTCAGAAATTTTGAAAAACAGAAATGTGGAGATTACAACAAACTAAAGCCAACATTCACATTTATCTTCACTCAGTATTCACACATGAGTAAGAGAACAAGGAGAGGCCCCAGGAAGGCTCTCCAGAGAGCACCGGACAGCATCCCTCAAATTATGACACATGTGACACAAAGTGGGAGTATCAGTTCCACAGACCTGCTTAATAACGGTGTACTTCCTTCTCTTGAAGAGGTAGGCATTTTTCATGTTTTTCAATAATTAGGTTGATTTCATATTCTAAATGGCTTCTTTCTTTCACCCTGTACAGGTAGAGGACGACTTGGGTTTAGGTCCAAATGGCCCCCCCGTTGATCCCCCAAACAATCTCTCTGTTGTTGCTTTTCCTAACTACAGGGAGCAACTTAAAGTTAATCAGACATGTTTCACCTTCCTGAATCCCTCTGAATGTGATGAGGATGATGATAAGAAAGATCTAGAGGAATCCTCACATAAAAAAAACTCCACAGGTCTTTTTTTAATTTTTTTTTTCCATCGGTATCCAAAACCTATTCAAGAAAAAAGTAAAGATAAAGATCCAACTGAAGGAACATTCATGTTATCAGTCATCTAAATTTTGATCATTCTAGTTTGTTATGGCATTTGAAATCGTACATTCTGTGTGCTTAGGCTAAACGTCACAAGGATTACAAGACCAAAGACAAAAAGGGCAAAGACACTCAAACAACCCCGAAAAAACATTTCAAGACGTTGAAATTGAAGAGTTCAGAGAGGTTCAATGCACTTCTATGCAGTTTCTATTTTTCTATCCAGTCACTTCACAATTATTTAAGAGCAGTAGTTGTTCAGCTGTCTAATTGTGTTTGTGTAACCATGTGTAGTTTGACCACATATTGCTGGGTTGTACCTGCTGGCGGTGAGGTGCCTCTGAAGATCTGGTTCTACTCTGAATCACTCGGAGTTTTTGAACAGGTCTTCAACTTTGAGACAGTGGGGAGCCGCAAACTTTACCAACTCAAATGCAGAGGAATTTGCACCTATCCCTCCATCTCCACAGACTACCAGTCAGTATGCATTATTCAATCAAGTTGTGTGGGAAATTGAGGTTTTACAATCTTAATGATGTGGCAATTTAATTTCACTTCTCTGTACTCTGCTGCAAATGTTGTTAATTAGCTAATTGGGATTATTTTTAATGTTTCAATCAATCAATCACTTTGAATGGTACATCATTAATCTTTCCACAGGATTGTTTTTGTTCAGTCTAAGAAGGTACCACAAGAGAAAGAAGGCCTTCAGAAGACCTATGTAATCAGACCTGGTTACTTTGAGTTTGGGCCTTTACTTTGCAGCAAAACTAGAGACAGGTGAGAGACTGAAAAGTTTCAAATAGGGTTGTTTCAGCTGATGTATTTTTAATGTCAGATTTCCATGATTGTCTTCAGGTATAAGAAAAACACATATCCAGAAAACTCTGAGAGGCTGGACATTTGTAACGACTCTGGCATGGAGGCAGAGGTCATGTTCAGTTTCCAACATGACACTCAGGGCACAACGTATCTGCTAGATCCCTCTACAATGACTCTCTCACCAGGACAGAAAGAAGTACTACTCAATGGAAATGATCTTAGTTGACTACATTAGATGATGCAACAAAAACACATGTATATGTAAATATTCTTTCTCTTCATCAGGTGCTGACAGTCTATGCATATCCGACAAAACGGGGACAGATAAAAGGCAGCATAATTTGTAATATCAAGGACATTCCTGAGCCTGTGACCATCCAAATCTCTTGCTGGGGCGTCCGACCAGAACTCGAGCTGGACAGCACCCATTTAAACTTCGGCAAGATTCTGCTGCACAAGTATGTAAAGAAACACAAACCTCTTCCTGCCTCGTTATGCTTTCCCTTCAAAAAATATCATTCTGATGTATTTTAAAGAGGTTTTGAGAATTTTTTTTTTTTTTTTACATTAACCTAAGTTTTAATTTGTTTAAAATGTGTTGGAACATTAATCTCATTAAAAAAAGGTACAGTACACCAGATTTTACCTCTGGTCTAGCTGCAGATCTTAACACAAAAATATAAATTAAAAATAAATTCATAACACACATAAACACAGTTAGTTGGTTTATATTACTCACATTTTCTCTACAACCTTTATTCAACATTTTTTGATGTTTGAACACATATGCAACTATGCAACCCAACATGAAGCTGTGCAAATTGCAATATATTGGTTATTAAAAATGTCACTAATATCAATCGATAAGTCTGGTGAGAATTTGTATCCAGCCAAACTTTGTCAACACATTTTAGATGAAACTTTAATAAAAAATGTATGCTGCCAGTGAAGATCCCTCTGAAAAAAGGCCCCCAACAACATAATACCATCAATGAGTCACACTGCGGATTTATTCAAGATGTTGACAATTGCATAAAACATTTAATGTAAAATAAGTAGGTGCATATATGTTGACTTTAAAGTGACTGACCCAACTCAACAGAGTGTCAGCCAGTTGGTACTAACAATCCCATAATGTGGGTGCGGTGATTTACTTTTAGGTGATTGTAACATAAACACACACATGTCTCGAAGGCCCATTCACTGGTTAATCGCCATTTCTGGCTACCATCACTGCATGAAGACAAAATATTATTTTAAAAATAAGTGTAAGAGGATGGATACAAAAATATCTCCCAATAATTGTAAATCTAATCTATAAAGACAACTTTTTTCTGTTGTGGGTTAGCAATTTTAAATTAACTATCCAAATTAGCTGTAGTATGATGATTTGAAAACAAATTGTCACTGTGATGAAGTCAAAACTGCATCTGCATACTCTGAACACTGCATTTTTTTCATCACATTTTTTTTCTTTTTCCTACAGGAAAGACAGTCGTGGCATCATGATGGTTAACAAGACTGTTTTGCCACTATCTTGGATGCTTCAGGGCTTGGAAACCTTGGGTGACGAGTTTGTAGTGCCACAAGATCAAGGAGTCATCCAGCCAAACTCCTGTTGCCCTCTCTGTGTGGAGTTCAAGGCCAGGAAGCCAGTCGTTAAGAAAATCTTGCGTCTCGAGGTAAAGTTGAAATTGCAACTGGAGGTACCTCACTATGTTGATCTATTGTATTGCAATAGCTAAACACCATCTGTGCTCATAAATATAAAGTTCTCTTTTTCACCACATCAAATGATTATGTAAAATACAACTATAAAAAAATTGAAAACAGGAATTGAGTGCACAAGTTTATCTCCTCTAATAGAAATAGGACGAAATTTATATATATATATATATATATAAAAAAACTGACTCAAATGTCACCACTAATATTAGGACAAATGCCCAGTAGTCGAACTGCAGTGTTTTTTTTTTTTTAGCTTTTCAGTGCTACTGGTACAAATCTGGTTGGACATGTCAATACCTTTCCTTGACAAAGTTAGTAGAGTTCATATAAACCAGTTGATTTCCTGGGGCGAATCTGACTTTTAATTGACTACAGATTTTTAGCAGTGTTGTAGTTGGGGTCATTCCAGAACCCTAATCTTCCTTGTCTTCCTGTCCTACCCACCTGTTCCCCTTGTTACGTCATAAGTTAACTGTCATTTACCAAATTGTTTTACATATTAGTTGATTTTCATCATCCATACAGAGGTTTGGCGACAACCAGACCTGTAGAGTTGCATGAATTCATGTACAGTTGAAACCAGAAGTTCACATACACCAAATAAAAATACACATACACTTTTTTGCTCACTGTCTGAATTTCAGTCAGATCAAACAGATTTTTGATCTGACTGAAAATTGTAATTATTTATTTATTTTTTTTATTCTAACTAACTTAAAACAGGAGAAGTCTGGTTTGGTTTAACTTTTTACAGTGAGAAAAAAAAAACATGTCTTTTTATTCAGTGTATGTAAATATCTGGTTTAAACTGTATGAGTCTGAAAAAGACCAAGAAGGTGAGAGACATTATCCACAAAACTGTGACCAAAAAATATGACTTTTATTAATTTTATAACAACTTCTGTTATATATTTGAACATGTATATTTTTTATTCCTTGTGTAGTTGAAAAATCCACAATAAAGTAAGACATGCACACTCAATTCCTGTTTTTAAAAAGCTGTTGAAATTGTTGTTTATTCCAGTTGTATGTGCATTATGAAAATGTGTGATTTTGCTCATATTTGATTAATTTTATTTTAGGTATACGATGTGGAGAAAATTATTGGAATCCTGCATACTGAAAACTTAACAATTCATGCTGAAGCCTATGATGTAGATCTGAAGATTGAACCAGGTACAAACTATAAAGCCCTAAACATATTATCAGTGTAACTCAAAAGACTGGCAGCAGTTCAGTGAAATTTAAGAAACATTAAAGTCAGTTTTTATTGTTTAATAAAACAAAATTTTCAGAAATAAGTATTTTGCCAGGCATCCCAGCAAGATGCATTTTTTTCTGTATTACTTCCTTGTTGGTTGTTTTTTTTTTTTTTTTTACCACTTTGTGAACAACAGAGTCACAGCATCTGAACAAGGACAGTACAAATTTAGTGATTAAAACTGCTTTTATTGATTTATTTTCAGTGAGATTCTCCAATATAGCCTATCTGTATTTATGCTACATAGTGCTTAACCTATAGTTGCGCTTTGGAAAAGCTTTTATAATTCTGCATTTTGGAAGTTTGTTCCATCAGTTTCCTTTACTTTCATCCTTCCATCAGTCTCACTCTTATTGATCAGGCAAACAGAAGCCAAGTTTTAAAACAGCATCTGCACAGAGTGGCAAAAAAATGATCTAGCCTGCCTTTTATCCATCTCCAAACTGTGGCTTTGATTTTCAGAAGTAACCTTGAGGTTCTAGTACATTTTAACTGCATAAAATATTTGTCTCTGAAAATCTTTCTGCCAAAACTGAAATACAAGCCCATGACAACAAATGTAGAATCGCTGTTATTGGATGTTATCAGTTAGTTACATAATAACTTATGAAATGACATCAGACTTATTTAACGCTTGTCTGGAAACTCAAAAACGCTTTACATAAGATCAGTCATTCCCATTCACGCACACATTCATACCTGTTTCAAATCCTGCAGATCCGGGAATTATCATTAAATCATTAATGTTGGTCTAGTTCTGTCCCAATTCAACAAGTAGACGACTGTCTGAAGAAAACAATCAAATTTACTCAATGACAATATGTGGCTCAGCAGCAACATCCAGTTTAAAGACACCATGCTTTTCCAAACCGAGCTGCACCAGTAAGTCAGAATGAAACACTGTCAGCCAGTACATTATGTCTGAGAATACTTGTGTGCCATATGCATTTTTGACTCTCATGCTTATTCAAAAGTTAGAGACCAAAAATATTTTAATAATCTTCTAAAGTGGTCTCTCTTATTTGTCCAAAATAATTTTCATGACCCTAACATATGCTTTTTTTGTCCCAGCTGGAAGTGCTTGATTTCTGACGAAAGAAAATGAAACTAGGATGTCTAACATTGGGTGAAAAAGTGAACAAACAGGTCGTCCTAGCCAATGACAGCCTCCTTGACCTTTCTTTCAATTTGATACTGAACTCCGATCCTTCTCTAGATCTAAAGGTAAGCACAACACAAACGCTATCAACTTTTAAACTGGAGTCCACTGAAGCCAGACTTAATAGTTGCCTTCCTGCCACCAGGACCTGACTGTCAGCCCATTAGGCGAGATGAAGCTGAAATCTTGTGGAGGCTCCTGCAAGCTGCAGATTCAGTTTTCACCTCAGCAGCACATTGCTCCTTTTTCTGTCGCGCTGCAGGCCGAGTTCAAAGGGTTCTTCCACCACCTGCTGACCATTGAGGGCTGTTACAAGGTTGGCTGGAATCTGCCCTCACAACCATTACGGTGTGTACAAGAATATTCCCTTAGCGAATTATGTATTGCGATGTTTTTGTTCAAGAAATATTTGGTAGTAATTTATAATTTAAAAATACCAGGGGGTGGATGTCCATTTAGACTGCAGCCGAGTGTCTTTTGGAGCTATGGTCCAAAACTGCCAGACGAACAGGAGGATTGTCATGATGAACGCTAGTGACACTACTGTCAGGTAATGTTGAATAGCAGCATATCCCACTGTATTTTTATGGAATCAGCACATCCCCAAACACCAACTTTGGTTGGCTTTATTTTCTTCCCCCTGTTTTGCTTCGGTTCACTGAACTTCCAGATTTCATTGGCAAACCCAAGGTTTCCCTGCAGAGTTGTCGATCAGACCAGTAAAAGGATAAATCTGCCCAGGCAAGGGCTTTCCCTTTGAAGTGACCTTTACCCCTGTGAAGCTCAGTGACGACATCAGATACGAGAACCTGTTCTGCTTCATCGACGGTTCCCCACTTATTAAATTGACGGTCACAGGTTCCTGCGTCCCACCTTCCATCAGCAAAGAGGTTAGACTGAGCTCTCTCTTTACATACAAACATAAATGTTTCATGTCTTTAAAATAATTACTGTTAATACACACTTTGGTTATTAGTTAAGGGATAAGGAGGTTTTTTGGTTCCAATCTTTCCTCATGATTGCTGATTTGAAGTCACACTTCTAAATAGGATATTGAGTTAGTTGCCTTGTAAAGCACTTTAAAGTAAATATGCTGTTTATTAATGCTTAAAAACAAAGTTGAATCTATCAGATTTAATTATATTTTTCATGTAATATTGCAGATAGATCTGGGCTGTAAAAAAAATGATACAAACTTACATTTAGACTGATTTTTTTTTTTGGAGTATTTTTCCTAAAAGCTGCCATGTCAGTTGCTTTTTCCTCATTGTGTAAATGGTTAAAACGGTAGCTCCATATAATGTAATTGACTTGTCTCATTTGGTTGACTCAGGAGCTTCTGACAGACTTAAGGATTTCTACAATTTCTTTCAGTTAGATTTAATTAACTGAGTACCCCTAAAGTCCTGCATCCGAGGAATCAAACAAGTCAGAAAGCTTGTGTTGAAATTTTTTCACATTTATTTATCTAAAGTAGACAGACAAAAGGTCTTTGAAAAGACTGTAAAAGCATGTTGATTGTTTTTGCTGCATCACAACAAAAGAAAATGTGCATCATGCTCATGTACGTGATGTTTGATAGAAATTATAATTTTAAGTCCAACAAAAGCTGAAGGGATTGCATTGTTATTACTGTTTGTGCTTAGATGCAGATGTCTTTTATTATTGAACTCTTAAATACGTGCGTCAGAGGACATGTTGTTGGTCGCCAGAGAAATTCTGGCAGGTTTGATTAATTTTATACATTTTGCAAAACGTCTGTCTCCAGGTGATAAATTTCACTTGCCGAGTGCGCACCTCTCAAACTCAGACCCTGTCCGTAACCAACCCTACTTGTGAGTCCTGCAACGTCATACTTGTAATCAAGGGTGAGCAATTTAGTGCTGCTCACTTTATGACCTTTGAACCCAACCAAAGCAAGACATTTGACATCACGTACAGACCACTGAACATGACGACTAATGGAAACAAGCACCTGGTGGAGAAAAATATTACTTTCAATGGAAGCATTTTTGTATTTAGGACTAAAAATAGTGGGTAAAAATGTCAAAAAATAGACTTGTGTTTTTCACAGGGATCAGTTTTTTTCTCTTTTCCTGGTGGGAGGGGAATTCTGTTCAATCTGCAAGGAAGTGCGTTTGCCCCAAAAGCAGAGGACATCATCTCACAGGAGGTGTCTGCCAAAACCCAAAGCTCTGTTCTTCTCCAAGTCAACAACTGGCTCACCAGGCTGCAGAGGTAAAACACTAAGTCAATTATATAATTTATGATAATTCCAATTTCATCTAACATATAAAAAAGGCCTATGGGACTTTTCTCATCTAGATTAGTTTGTGTGTGAATAACAATTTTGGTAAATCAGACTCATTACCTTATCCTGACTGATTCCTTTCTATAATGAGATCCATTAAAGACATAGCTAAAGAACACAGATCTTGAAAAATTGGAAAATCAGACTTGGACTTCTGACTTTATTTAAGTCAGACTGCAAACTACGGCACCAGATCTATCACTGTGAATGTCATACATTCAATCAGCAAAATAATACGATCTGTAAAATTATGCAAACAGAAACATGGAAGTGATTGAAATCCCTGTCTGACAGTGATTAAAATCATAGATCGATAGACCAACAACAGGTACGTGAAGCTCAGTTAATTTAAGAAGGCATGATAGGGACTCTAATCCAAAACCTGGGAGTGAAATGAATGCCAAAATATAATATTTATTTATTAGTATTTAACTGGTGATGAAAAATTTAACAACTCTTATGAGGCCATAATAAATGGTCATTTATCACGGTCCTATGAGACTTATAGTTTTATGTTTTAACAAATATATTGACTATTTTTCTGTTTTCAGGTTCTCTGTGCTGCTAGAGGTAGTTAAACCTGAGAAACCAGACCCGACTGTGTTCCTCATAGGACACAAGTCCATCGAGGTTCCCGCTTTGGCCAAGATGGACTACAAGATGTCTTTTAATGCATACAAAGAGGGAGAATACACCACAAAGGTTTGGGCAAACAAGTTTATGTGTTTGTGAGGGTATGTTTCTCTAACCATGTGAGTATGCATATCACACTATTGCATATTTGCCTTCTGTTTCAAAGGTGTAAGAAAGATGAATACCCTTATGAAACAAATGCTTTGCTGTAGCATTAGCAAGTCAATGTTTAGCTGAGCCAGACTTCCATGGCATTGGCTTCCAAGTTTAACACAATTTTCTAAAAGAGCTAAAAGGTTTAATTTGTTGCACTTCAGCTGAAACAGTAAAAGTTACAGTGTGCAGTGCTTTTTTTTTTTTTTTTTGGTCACCCCTCCCGGAAAATTTTCAAAAATTTTTAAACAAAAAAAAAAAAAAAAAA